TGCAACATAACATGTAGATTGAATTATGTGTTCTTCACCAAAATGACTTGTAATTCAAGAATGGATGCTCAACTTCATGCCTTTGAATCTCCTAGCTTAAGTATGATAAATTCATGCTCTGGAATTTTTTTGAAAGCTTGAAACATTGTCTACAACTTTCATGTTGACCATTTTGGCTAAATCAAATTAGAACTTGATGAAAACTGGCCAAGAAGATGGGACAAAAACCTGACCAAAACCTGTCGAAAATTTCTCTAAGTGTTAGGTAAAAAAATGTCATGACTTCATGGGCTTATATCTTCAAATCTAATCATTTTTTGGACATAAACCCTCTAATACAAAGTTGTATAGTTCATCAAGATCTATAACTTTCATGTTGAAAGTTTTCTTTGAATCATCTTGTATCTTGATGAAAAAATGTCATGAAGTATTGAAATTATCAAGTGTAAAAACACTTAGAAAATTTCTAAGTATTGGGAACTTTGACTTTTTATTGACTTTCTTGAATTTCTTGATTTTCTTGATGATCAAGTTTGATTTTTTTTAGGTCTTTATGAATTTTGATCTTTGAATTTTAATGTTGGCCAAAAAGACAAAGTTTTACTTTTTGTGTATCGGTTGACTTTTTGTCAGTTGATCCAAATTTCAACTATCAACCCTTTGATCCTGAGAACTGATTCGAGCCATGAAATTAGGTCAACATGTTGCGTATGAGTCCTTGGGATTATGTTTCAAGCCATTAGGTCATGTACTAAGTTAAAAGTCGGTGATCAGTCATTCTCAGTCAAAACCCTAATTCGGAGGCACAGTGCTTTAGAGGTGGGCTTGTCTGATCAAACCCTTGAGCATTTTGAGATCTTTGGTGAGAAATGTATTGAGAAAGAAGAGGGAAAATTTTGGGGTACAACAACCCCAAAATTTTCCCTCCAATTTTTCAAGACAAATTAATTCAACATATCTTTTCATGCTCCTAGGGTTCTCAATTGCTCAAGACTATTCAAGGGTTGACCAGATAAACTCTCCTCCTAAGCATTGACCTATAACTAGGTTTCACTTTTCTTAAAGGAAATTGGACTTCTAATGCCTCAAGTGGATTCCATGGTCTCTCATATGTATCAAGATATCCTCATGCCAAGTTTTAAGCCTTGCAACACAAGTTTGCTCATTCAATTAGTCAGATGATTGAAAATCAACTATATTGGACAAAAAGACAACTTTGACCAATTTACAATCAAACTTCAAGATTTTGGTCAACATCAAAATTTTGAAGTCACATTCATCATTTGATCAAGGGTTGATCATGATTCATCAATAGAACTCAAGATTCATCAAAAGTCAAAAATTACTAAATTAGGGTTTTCTTAAGAAGAAGTCAATTGAACTTTGACCAAGCATAACTTTCACATACTTCATCAAAAATGTCTCAACTAAATCACATTTTGATGGAAATTCAATTCTCTACAACTTTGTATCTCTAAGCTCAAAGCCAAAAATGCTTCATTTGAGAGATATGAGCCAAAACATTATAGGTCATTTTAAAAGTCAACAAAAAGACACTTTTTGTCAAAGCAATTTACATCAAGATAAAGTCTTCAAATGAAAAAATTACCAACATGAAGTTTGTAAGGGACATCTTGAGGTTTCCAAAAAGTCAAAGATCACCTTCATATGATAAAAATTGAGTAAGATATAATTTATGCAAGTTGGGCAATTTTGAAAAAATGCATGAATTTCAAATTGAGCAAATTTGAATTTTTAGGCTAATGGGCTTATCTTTTAAGGTCCAAACGTGTTCCTGACCTCATCATAGACCTCTAAGTCCATTGATTTATTTTTGTGTTTTTTATTTCTTTTTATTTTGATTTTATTCAATTAAAAGCAAAATAAATCAAATAAAATACTAAAGTAAAGATATGAGGTGCATGACTTTTGTTTTAAATCAAATCATAAGGCTAAAAATCAGATACTAAACTATAAAAAACATGTGGGATTGATTGGTACATAATTGGCTTAAAAAAGAAAGATTTCATGCAAAATTTCCAATCAAATATTTTGTCATGAAATACAAAGATTTGACTCATGTTTGTTGACCTAATTCATGGTCTATAAATAAAGAATATATTTAGACCATCAAACACACGAATTTTCCTCAAGAACACTCTCTCAAAAAATCTTAAATTTTGTTAAAACTAGGGCGAAGTCAAAACCTTGTCTCAAGTTTCTTGCAATCAAAACCAAGCCTTCTATTATCTCCCTGAAGATCCCTGGAGTCCATCCATGCCCTCCTTGAAGCCTAAAGCACGCTAGAAATCACTCATACAAACACGTTGGTTTGGTAAAATTTAATAAACTCTAGCTCTTTATTCATGCAATGTAATTGAATTCTATGCATATATTCATGATCATATTGACGTGTGGAACTGTTTTGACGTATTGTTTTGAAGTTTAGCGCAGGGACAAGGACTTTCTATTATTAGGGCATAATCTGAGTTTTATTTCGAAACTCATGATACAATCACTTTCAGGCTAAAAGAATGCCATCATTGAATTCAGGAGAGTCGAATTAGGGGGATAATGTCCTCTTTTCTCTCTAACGCGCATTATTTTTGCAGGTTGATGAAAGGCCTTGCCGGAGAAGACGAACAGAGTTATGGCTTCGACGCCTCTCCGGTTGACTGGTTTATAATATATTTCTTTTTTTTATTATGTTAACAGATGGAGACGTAGCGCAGTTGGTTGAGGTGAATGCGTGTAATGTGAAGGGCGTGGGTTCTATCCTTGCGTCTTGCGTTTGATTTGTTTATTTTTCAAACTAACATGCAGGTTTTACATATATTATTCAGTTCTTGTTTTCTATCACCAACAGGCGCTTGACCTAGTGGCGAGCAATACAGATCCTTGGGTCCAGGGCGCGTGGGTTCAACACCCACCCCATACAATTTTTTTACCTTATTTTGTTTAACCTATTTTCCTTTTCTTTTTCTTAATTAACCCTAACTCTTTTTTATTAATCATTATTAACCTCATTATTTTTCTTAACACTAATAAATTAGGTTTAAGTTTTAACTAATATTTAATTTTCTTTATTTATTTACTAAATTAATTAGTTAATTAACTAAACTTTTTTTTTAAATCAATTAAATTTAAATTTTTATTAATTATTATCATTTAAATTATTGTCTACAAAACATCAAAATTATTAATACCTAGAACTTTAGGTCTTCTAAAATTTTGTTTTCAAAATATTTTCTTATTTTCTTTCTTTTTGCTATTTAATTTTCTTAGATAAAATATATAGATCGCAACCATCATTGTAATAGTTGTAGATTTAATTTCTCACATTCTCCTATTATATAACTGCCCCAAAGTCATGTAACAGCGTAGAAATTTTATTTTCTGCACTTTATTTTCTGTACATTTTATAATTGCTAGTAACTAGGGTTTGTATGGCAATACTAATAAACAAACGTAGACAACCCTAATCTCAAGATAAAATAACTGAATCAACACTCTTTACACTTACACATCTAGGATATCCTCTCTTGTTTCCTTATGATACTTGGTCATGTCCCTCGAAAATAGGAATACTTTAGCAAAAGACCCTTTCGAATAAAAGATCATAGTCTCGATGACCCTTCGAAGTTGCTTACGAAAATGATCTAGTCCCTCAAATACAAATTACTAAAGCATCCTTACATGTTGTCTTCGATGACCATTCGATGACACTACGCATGTCTCTTCACATCCAATAGATATGGCTATCTACCATCTAATAGTATGAATAACACTATCTCTAAAGAAAAACGAAAAGAATAAGAACGACCTTCAGTGGGTAAGGAACTCTTAATCGCTTGCTCACAATCTTTTCTAAAAGACATTTTTTACAGATCACATTTTCAAACGAAATATTTTCTAAGACCTTTTGTACGCATTCTTTATACGCATTCTTGAAGACTGATACAAGAATCATTACAAAATCAGTCTTACATTGCCTTTTCAAAATATTTTCAAATCACACGCACAAAATAAGATTTTCAAAAGTAAACTAACAATTAAGAACCCGTAGATAACTACGGATTGATGAGAACGGTACTAACACCTTTTATTTTCATAACTTACCTCCCAAACTTAAAATCTATCAAAGGATTAAAAAAAATCGGTGACAACTCTAACTATCCACATATTTGAATAAAACCAACACACAAAAAAACAGTTCTCCCATCATATTACACCATCCTTGTAAATTTTTAAAAAAAAAAAAAAAGACATTTCTTTATTTTATTTTTTTCAATAAAATATAGGATGAGAGTAAGATACCCCAATTTAAGAGAGAAGACATTCTGTTCAAAGAGTACTCAGAAGGGAAGATATTTTATTTATCTTCTAAGAAAGAAAGATCTTTCGTTTGAAGAGTAGTCAGAAGAAAGAGAATTTATTTACCACGAGTAACGATTCTATTTATTCTTGAAAGGAAAGAAAAGATTCTTTATTGATGTTTTGGATGTGTCAATGTTAAGAAATACTCAATTATGTAAGCACTTCAAATTGTATACTTCCATATCAATAATATGAGTATTAGAATTTCACATATCCATATTTTGGTAAAATACTTAAAGATGTAAACAGTTGGAGCAAGAGCAAAACTCAATAGAATAAGATTAAGAATACAAAAATGATATTAGTAATAACTAAATAAATATTCAAAACCCTATGTTATATAAATATCAACATATGTAAAATCAAAACATGTCTAGATTTCAGTATACGAACGGTCAATCTGGATTGATATTCTAGTTTTCACAATCTATTTATATCCACCAGCCAAAGATCCAACTAATTTTTGGTAGATAACATGACAACTTAGGATCTAAGCAGTTCTGATTATTAGTATATGTATATCTACACCATGTAAGATGTTTCCCATGCAAAGATAAAACTGATGGGCCATCTAATAACAGAAAAAAAAAAAAGAAAAAAAAAAGGAACAGCCCCACAAACAATCAATCCAATTCTATGGGTAAATAATTAGCATCATCTAAAAGCATGTCAATATCAATCAAATCCTCCACACCATTAACGGCTTCTTCTGAATTCTTCAAACCCAAATTACATGGCTGCTATATACGATAACAAAAAGAAATGTCATTAAACCAAAAATATTGGTTAATTTTAAACATAACATTATGTTAGAAAATACCTTGTGACGGAAATCATCTACTACATTTAGCAGTCGTCTGTACTGAGCACGAGCTTCTGGATACTGAACCATGGACTGAACCCTTGAAAGAGCCTTTTGGAACCTTTCTTCACTCTGTTTCCTCCCTTCCTTGAAAAAATCATAATCATCCTCCTTCACAAGATCGTTGTTTGGTTGGTTGGGGACATTATTTACGGCATATGGTCGAAATCCACGTAAACCACTGCCCTTACGCCTCCACCGTAATACAACCTTCTCCAGGATTCCCACAGACCAAATGATTGATTTAAACTTCTTTCTTACCTGGTGACCTCTTACGTGGGCCTTTAACACCATGGATTTAAAGTCAGTATATGGAAGTATCCGATGTTTAATGACAAATAAAAAGAAAAGAACGAAGAAAAAGAAAGGGCTCTATCTATGATCTATGGATGAACACAGCCCCTAGCCTTCTATGGCAACCAGACTGAAAAGCACAAACATGTATAAACTAAAAAAACCATCTAGGAAAGAGAGCAGCTGGATGAACCTGGATTTTAACAACTCTTTCACGAATGAACAAGAATTCTTTTCTCTTTGTCCAGCCACGAAACTTTTTCTGTATTTGTACTGCAGCAGCATTTGCTGAACCTTTCCCATGAGTGGATTTGCAAGCCTTAGAAGCTAAAAGAGAAAGAGCCTGCTGATCTGACAATCCAAACTCATCATCATCGTCATACTGAGCTAACTGCTTTCTTTGAAATGATTGCATTCTATATACTTGATGTATTCTATCAGCAGCTTGTGTAGCATTGCGGACAGCATCAAGAGAATCCTTAAGGCAGATAACATCTGGTGTATCTTCCAAGAGCACACGTGTCGCACTTCGTTCTGAAATCGTCTGTACGACTTTTTCTTTTGTACCATCTTCATTTGCATCAGCCACTCTGAGTGATTCAAGGTGACTAGTTAATAATGACTCGGCAAGAAAACCTGAAATTCCTTTGTGGCCACAGCTAGAAGCAAGATCTGCAGGTGTTCTTCCTGAAGGGAATGCTGGACATGGATCTGTCAAGGCTCCAGCAGCTGCACCCATGGAGACAAGGAGACCAACTGTTCGTTCCCTGAGCATACATAACAACTAATTAGCATAAAGAACTGATTCATGTTATGCTAGATGAACATTATATGACAGTTTCAAAATACAGTATTCTTAAATTAGGCTTCTTATAATATAGAGGGATTAATGAACTTGCCTTTTAGCATACAAACCAGAGTATTTTTCCAAAAATACTATTGAACTAATTTACATTCACATGCATGAAAAATTCACTCTGAACTAGGTATCAAAATAGTATGTATTTTTATTATGTACATTTTTGTGTATGCTTTACAAATAGGCCAGTGGTTGGAATTTCCGAATCCCCTAATGGCTCATATGGAATCAAATCTAAAATTCTAAAACACCAAAAAAATGGAGAAAGGCAATGTAGCAAAGGAAGTTTCAATCAAAAAATAATTGCAGCATGCAAAATCTAGTCAAAACAACAAAGAAAATATATTGAGTCCTTACCTGGCACATGATGCAGCCCAGTGTAGAGCAGTCCATCCATTCACGTCACGGAAGTTGATATTAACTCCAGAAGTTACAATTGGTGATATGGCCCAATCATAACCAAGAGCAGCAACTAAATGTAATACACCTTGCCCATCTTTACCAATCACATGAGGTCCTTTACCAGTTTCAGTTACTTTGTGAAGAAGCCATGAGTACAACTTTTCCTTAACCTGCCTGTGAAACGTATGCATCTTCAACATGTATTTTGATATATCCATCTCTCCAGTTGGCTCTTCATTACTCAAATGTTCCTCTTCCTCTTTCAGTGAAATAAGCTTAAGAATCAAGTTTCGTTTCTCCATATCATCCTCAAAAACTTGATCTGGAAGATGTACTAAATTCAAAGTAAGTAACTCTTCCAGTTGCAAATGAAGCGTCATTTCAGTAGAGCTGTTAAAAAATTCTGTTAAATCTACATTTCTATTGGAGTCCTCTCTGAACTCAAATTCCCGAACTTCACTACAAGCAAATCTATTGGAAAAAGTTACGTAGAAAGGGACCAGTCCAATCTCAAGAGGTGGAGCTTGACAGCATAGAATTCCATTAGCTAAAACGGTAGCTGGAACTTCAACTTCCCCAAACATACAGGACCAGTTACATGTTTCCACATTTGGTTTACTCTTCAAAAATGTTCCAATAATAAACACCTGTATGGTTTTGAGTAGGACATGTCATTAGAACTACAATTCGTGTTGTTGCAGAAACCGGCAGAGAAAAGAGTAAAACTGTTATCATGTATAAAATTTTAAAGCAAACTGAAATCATCAGGAAACATCGTGCAAAGCAATTATATAAGACCGGAAAAGCCCAAATATGAAAGAATAAAAAGACTATATGCCTCTGAGAAGAACAAAAGTTGAATAAATAGAGTTTAAACTTATATGTGAGATTCACACAACTATATACTTTTTAGGCAACCATTTATTGTTCTGAGGTTTCTTCTTTTATTGGATATATGCCGGGAATAAGTAATTAGTTATGTATGATACACTGAGTCTTCTTTTGATATTTTTGTGCATATCTATTGCATGTAATTTGTTACACGTGATAAGTACCTGAATTTCTGATTCAGCATAAGCCCATTTAGGTGAAAAATCATGTATGCTAAAGAGCTGGTCTTGAGATAGGGAAAGGTTCAATGAGGTATCATCTATCATATTCCCACATTCATCTGTGCCCCATGGAATACCAAGGGAAGACTGCATGTGCAGATCATCCACCGATGCAAATGCTGTAGACATCCACCTAGAGAAGCTATCAACCTTACTCAGGCTTTCTTCTGCATCCATAAAAACACGTTTCATGTTCAATGCATTGTTGACATTGGGTTCGCCATGAGTTTCAAAATCAGATTTCAGTGCATCCTGAGATTGTGCATGCTCATTTGACATGTTTTGCTGCACAGGCTGCTCTTTTGGTTCATAATTAAAATAAAATGGGTCCAAACCAATTTCTGGACTTGCATTATTAGTTTCTTTTCCCAGTAGTTCAGCGGAATAATCAGATTCAAATTCCGAAGTCAACGATTGAGTAAAGCTCCATTTAGGAAATTCTCCTGTATTGTCTTCAAAAGGAATCTGGATCAACAATTCAAATAACAAAATGGAAATAGTTACTTATTTTTGCTACATCCCAGAAACCGGTGTTGGTAGATCAAATATAAAGCTGACTCAAGATCATTGCAATGAAGATATCACTAGCAGTAACAGTAAGTACCAGCCAATTTGATTGGAGAGACTGTGAGGCCCTTCCTTCAGTAAAGACAGCGTGTTCTTGTTCAAGGAAGTTGCTGATTGAACTTGATGGAATAGAATTAGACGATACAGGGGAAGGATCAACATACAATCCTGCAGATTTCTCCATGTCATTGTCCCAGGATACTATGTTGAGTGCTCCCTGACCCTCGATGTATGTAGTATCACTGGGATTGGATTTACCCCCTTGAACAAGTGGGAGGAAATTAGGTCCTGAAATCGATAACTGGCTATGATTACCTAAACATTAATGTTAAATTTAAGTTACAAAATTATCATCTCACACCAAAAAAAAGGACAAGGTAACCTGAAAAGGGATGTGTAAGATATGAATTATTTGAATGAGCATCAATCTTACCCATCAGTGGACCATTCCCCAGATTTTGCGACTCATGAAAGGTGTGAAATCTCGGGCTTGCTTTATGAATATCCTCTGGGAAGTAATTCGTTTAAATCTTTTAGCAGTGATCAAATGAACCAAACTATTATGTAATTACACATGCATATGCAACTATATGTTGCAACAGTGTATTGAGATATTTAAATCAGATTATAAGGATCATGTTTTATAATGTATCATCAATTAGATACTAAACCAGAATTACCTGAATCTGCTTCTTCACATAAAGAAGTTAATGTGCTTGTTGGGCTCATGGAATCCGCACTTCCTGAAGGCATGTTAACAGAATTTGCAGGAAATCCAGATGACACAGATATGCCCTTGTAGGAATCTGATGTAACCCCATTAGTATCTGTACTTGCACCAATATTTGTCTTGTTAATCTGAAAGATGAATAACCCATCGAGCATCTATTAATAAATTATTACAGTTACCTTCACAAGTTTTCTTCTTGATTTCAAGAAAATTATAACAGAAATAGCATTTAGAGTCTTCAAAAGGATTGTGCAGCTTACTTAGTATCGTCAATTTTGAATTTTTAATAATTAAAACAGAGTTCCTTCCCTTGTAGGAAGATAATTTCATAATTTAGCAGTAGAAGAGAAAACATAGTGTGATAGTGAGAGAGATGGATGATGAGAGGAAGCCCGAAAGAGAAAATGAGAAGGAATACTAATCAATGAGTTAAGTGAGAGACAATGAAAACTTTAAGGAAGAAGAAACTCAAAATTGACTTGGATCGAGCTACTAGATGTCATACATTAGCAGGTTAAAACTACACCAGTATCGAAACGAAGCTATTATACTTGGCTTCGTCCAGTGTGGTGTAATGTAACAACTCAAACTCAAGACCGTTTCTATTTAGCCATACTTTTAAATACTAGTTTTATCAAGCTAGACAATTAGATGTTCCATCCATTCAGTTTAGAAACTTAGGATGAAGAAACTCAACTCTGACTTGGCTTGAGCTAGTAGATCCCATACATTCACAGGTTAAATTAAAAGTGAAAATTAACAAAACCAACCTAAGTATAGGAATACTTGGCTTGCTCGAGTGAGGTGTGATGTGACAACTCAGATTCGTGATCTTTTACACCTAGTCATACTTTCCAACACTGATTTTATTAAAGAAATTAATTTTTTTTAAATATAAAGTAATATGCTATTAAGGGTAACAATGTTAGTCTAAATGTAGACCAACACATGAGAAAGAAAAACCCCATAAAAATACAACCAGAAATAACAACATTATAAAATAAATAAAAGAATAAAAATACCTTAACATCCAAGTAGTGGACAAATACTATATGCATCATATCCCTGCAGCAAAACGATTATTCAGAAGACCATTTGCTGATTAATTTTAAGAAAAATACAAAACATTTCAGTATTTATTGGAAACTTGAAAACTTGCTAACAGAAAACAGTTAAAACTTAACTATTATACTGTTACTATAATTGACAATTAAAAATGCACCAATGCAGTACTTGAAAGCTTGGCATGCAACTGCCATGTGGAATGTTGATGTACTGTGATTGAAGATACTCATTACACAAAGTACTAAAAAGTAAAATATGTCACCATACTCACGTTTCAAGCATCCAATAGCTTCGCCTCTGAAAATTTTCATTCTCTTCTCCATGGGCATAGTAGCAGTGTAACACATCAACACTTCCCACCTATATTCGAAGGATATTAGAATAACAGCAAATCATTATTTTAATGCAGAAAGATTTATTTTACAATTAGAAAATATTAGATAAAAATAATTCAAGTCATCTTATGTGTGTGTGTCGCTCACAAAGCTTTTAGTAACCACAGACTAAAAACCAAGATAAATTCCGTGATTACCTTCAACTTTTCGTGAGCTTCCCTCACAGTTTTTCCATCTTTCTTCTTTCTCCAGTTGTGTCCATCCTTTCTGAAATATCTCAAAACCTTCCGATCAAAAAGAAAAAGTGATCCACCTGAACTCATGAAAAATACATGTCAAAAAGTACTCTGAGAACATGAAGTGACATTGCATGCAAAAAAATATGAACTGAAGTCAACTATGAAGCAAAACATTAGCGTGACCTAAAAATTAATAATAGCACTCTGCAAACTACAGAGAAGAATTTCAGATATGAACTTAATAAGTACCCTTTGCTTAGATAGAAGTGCTCATATGCTTTAACTGAAATATATAGTCAAAATGTATTTATGTTCAGACAATGAACAATTAGAAAACTCCACAGAATTACAAGAAGCTAACTATATTAAGAATTCAGTTGAATCTAAAGAGGAAGACAGACAAGTACAGCCTCCACAATTGGCATCTAGAAGGTTGTCGAGAAAACATAAAAATAATTGATGGAGGATTATTGATTTTAAGCTTCTTAACTCTTAGGGTATGTTTGGATTGATGGAATAGGATGGAATGGAGCGGAATGTAATAAAGTTATGTTCCATCGTTTGGATTGATTAAAAAAGAATGAAATGGAGCGGTATCGGATGGAATGCATTCCATCATTTTTTGTCCCCTCCAATTTGGGCAGAATGACAAAATGACAGTATTCCATCATGACCTATCCAAACAATGGAATGGTATTTTTATTCCACTCCGCTCCGTTCCGCTCCGTCCCATCCCGCTCCACTCCATTCCACTCCGTTCTTTTTTACATATCCAAACATAGCCTTAAGCAATTGTATCAGATATATTGATAAGACTCAAAAAGGTGGTACCAATAAATTAAACCATAATGAAATAAATAAATAAACTAAACATAACATAACATAACATAAAATAGTCAGAAACCATACTCGGTGGCCTATTAGGCGGTTCTGGCGTGATTTGAAACAACTTAAAATTACTAAGAATTTCCAATATTTCTGCAGGACGTAACCACCGATGCTGGGCTTCACGATGTAACTGCTGAATATCTGCACATTGATAAAAAATTAAATATAGCATCAATTTACATGTTCAATCACTGTACTACTACCACATACACAGTCACAATAGTTTATACAAACTTCAAAACTGCAACGATTTATTCGTGCTGCTAATCGGCAAGGTCGAAAATCACATGCAAACCAAATCACTACAAGTACATATTACCAATTTACCACAAACACCTATTAAATCAAATTCCTATTAAATTTACATTAGCAGTAAAAAATAGTTCATTAAAGGTAATTTATAGTCAAACCATTCACATTAACGTAAGAGCAGTCATTAGGTTTCTTCATTGTCTCTAATTAAACCTAATTGAGTCAACAAAATAATTCAAAACCCTAAACCTCAGTAACAAAGCAAACTCGATTCTCAAAAACGAAATCACAGAACAAGCAATCAAAACTTCACATAGCAACAAAAAAACGAAATCAGTACGAAAAAAATATATGGAATCACAGAACATGCAATCAAAAGTTCACATAGCAACAAAAGATCGAAATCAGTACGGAAAAAAAATCAAAGAAGCTAACCTAATCGAGGAGCCAGTCCGTGAGAAGCACGCTCCGCCATGACGAAGACTGAAAATCGGTGAGAGAGAGGGGAGAGATTTATGCGGAAAGGGATATATATATACCTCTGTCTGAATCTGAAGAATACACACTTTACGTTCTTTTCGCTCTTTCCAGTCAGCTTCTTTCTTCTTTTCTCTGACACAGTGACGTAGAAGACGTTATGGATTGCTTATGACTCTTTTTTTACTTATACTAGTTCACGTGATAAACCTTTCTGGTCTAAATTGAATTGATTATGGTAATCCCCAAAATGCGTTTTTATTTCACCCAATCACTGTTTGACGCGTGGATGGTAGGTGGAGCCATCGTTTCTTTTTAACACGTGCAACATTCCTATCTTGTGGTGTATTGTCTAAATAAATTGTTTATTTAGGATGACGTTTGATAGAATTAATTTTAATATAATTGACTTTGTTATAATTTATTTATTTTTGAATGTATTTATATAAAAGTAAATTGAATAATAAATTTTGATGTAAAAATTATTCAGAATTAATTTTAAAAATAAAAATTATAAATTTTAACTTAAATAGAATCAATTTTTGAGACAAAATCAATTTTATTGTTGATAAAATAAACACATCAATATCATTCAGAATCAATTCTACCCCTTTAAAATTGATTCTTAATTTTTCAAAAACCAATCCAAATATGTTATTAAATTATTTTAGTTTTTAATGTAATATTTTAATTATTATTTTAATTATATTACCTTTTATTAGTAAAATTTAAATATAAAATTTAATAGATATATACTAATATCTAGTAAAAATATATTATTCTATGATATCATATAAATTATTTAATAGAATATATAATCGTCATTCCTTAACCATGTAAAATGATAATACACTTTTTTTTAAAATTATATATTATTTAATTATATTTATATCACTTTAATACAATATTTTTCATTTTATATTTATAATAAAATCAAATACATTAATCTAGACAGAGAAAAAACAAATACATTAATATGTAATAATGATACCAATATTTTTTCATTTATAGATTTTTTTATTTCTTTTTTGATGTCTTTTTTATTTTATCTTAATTCATCAACTTAAAAATAATTTCTTTTGAAAAAGGTACACCAAGTTGGTACCATCTTTTCTCTCAAATAATTAATAAAGAATAGTTCACCAGGTCCTCACTCCTTGGCTTTGGAGCAAGGGAATATTTGTTGTGCATAAAATAGTAAAATACTACTATAAACTTAAAGGTTAAAACATTAAATATATCTTATAAAATATTTTAAGGTTAATTTATTTTACAAACTAAAGATAGTATTGTTAAGAAAAGTAAATTTAACATATATTAAAGTAGAGAAAAATAATAAAATTCAAAAATAATAAATTTAATAAATATAAAAAGCAACCAGAGAAGAAAAAAATAAAATTAAAAAAAGTATTGTAAAGAAGAATTTTTTTTTTTTTTACATACTTAGTCACTAAGAATACCTATTCGGGGAAATATTTAATGAACTAACACAAAAGATTATTATTTTAAAACAATTAGTAATATTGTTAGATTTTATATTATGGTGGTGAGGGTCAAATAAGAGTATATAATATTTTAAAATTTTGCTTGATAAACAAAATAAATAATATAATAAAATAATTATGTTATATGTTAATTTAATTCATTGTTTGATGAAATATCAAAATATCTTAGTATGTTAATTTTTATTTTTATTTTATTTTATCAATCAAAATTTCTGTTTAAAATATAGTATAGTTAAAAACCAGTATGATTTAAAATATAAATTTGAAATTAAACAAATATATATATATAAACAAAAATTTAATGTTACACTTAAAAAAATTAATAATTAATTTATAAATTTGAAATATATTTAAGAGATTAATTTTTTATTCACTATCAATGTAAAAACTTATACATTATCGTAAATATTATTTTAGATATAGTTAAAATAAGAAAGCTATATGCTTCTCTTATATCTAATAAAAGTTTAAAAATGTTATTATGCCAACAAACTTTGTAGTTTTGGTGAGGAAAATTGAAAGTCAAGCTATTAATTAACTTGACTCGTAAATAAGCAAGAATGGCCACCGCGCTTTATTATTTCTGAGGAAAAAGGGAAAAGAGCGAAATAAAACCCTTAAATATGCAATGTAAAATAGTACTTAAAAGTAATGAAAATACAATGCGTTTTTGAAAAAGAGATCTAGAGTTCAGGAGTTGGTTATGCAATGGGAATGTATTAGCACCCAATACATTGCGGTATTCCGCAGGAACCTTTTGAAATATCTGTTTTTTTAAAATTGTTTGTTTTATTAAAATGGTTAGTTTTGGTAAAAAATGGATGTGGACGAGATTTTGAAAATGCGACGACCTAATGTCGAAGTTTTGACTTAAAGGGGTATTAGTTCAAAAAATTGAGTTTTTTAGGAATATTGACTTAAGTTAGGCAAAAATGGTAAAAAAAAAATGAATGAGGGTATTCGCACAATCGTATTACTTATGAAGGCAACAAAACATTTCCCTTGGATTAAAGCTAAGAAGCTAAGAGTAAGCTTATGCAAAGTTGTAAACCAAGCATCAAATGAATTACGCATTTAAGGATCAACATGAAACAAGAAACTCAAACCAAGAGGTTAGCTCAAATGCATAAAAGCCAAGTCAAGATCATAAGTAGGGCAAGTGAAATCAAATAATTGAAAGAACTACTAAATAATTAAATGATTAACACACAAAATTAGTTAAGTTAATTGAAAGTACTTTAATAAAACTAATTGATCAACATTAGTTAAATCAAATAAAATTAATTAACAAAAATAATTATCTTTAACAAATAATAAAATAAAATGGAACAATTAAAAAGAAATAAGCAAATAACAGTTAGTTATTAATTAGTAACATAACAAAAAAATAGGAGAAAATAAAGGAATAAAGAAAATGGGCAGAAACAGCAAAACAAGGGATGTGCATAGTATGTAAACCGCATGGGCTTAAGTTGGTAAGGATGAGCGAATTGGGCTTAGGCATTGTAGGCTGAAAACGAAATTGTGAAGGCAAGAAACCCTAAAATATTTATTAGCAGCCGCTCACTAGTTTTGGAACTTCACCCAATAATCAATTCAAATAAATTCCCAATTACAAAGTAATTAAAACCAAAAATTATAATGATTCTTTCTCTCAAACGCGTCTCTGTTTCACGCCTCATGTTTCTACTCTCACCACTAATTTCTCATCATCTTCTCTCGTTTCAGTTTTTAATTCACTCTTTAATCTCACTGTTATAATGTTTTCAAGCACTCATGTATCGATCTTTCATCATCGTTCACAGTTATGAAACTCAAACTCTCAATCGATCTAACTCATCCCCTCCTTTATGTATCAACAATAACAAAATGAAATCGGTGGTTTACTCTCATCACACTCACTCGGTTTTTCTTTCGATTCTCACTATGCTTCTTTTTTCAATGTTTCAACAAAACAAAACAACAAATAACATCTCTGACTCAGAAATAGAGAAAAAAGGAAGTAGTTTACCAATGAGAAGGAGACTTTCCCCGGATTCAATTCGAAATGCTTTAAGGTACTGAAACTCTCTATTCTTTTTTTTTATTTAGATTCCATGAGTTTGATATCTGTCGGTGTTTGATGACGCGTTTGCAAGTTGTTGTCGGTGATTTTGATTCTGATGTGGTTGTGAAGGTTTTGCAGTGGGTTTTGTTAGAACATAGTTTGATTCTACAACCCTTGATTATAGTTTTAATGATAACAAATACAAAGAACAAATATGTACCCTAAAAATTATGTTATTTTGTATGCAGAAGTTCTGACCAAAGCAGCATCAGAAGATAAGCTATAGAAGCTACACGCTGAAGAAATCAGAATTTGCGCTGAAGATTGATGACCAGAACCTGCACTTAAGTGAAGTAAACTCTTATTCTAAACAAGAGCATAATAAACTAAGTTATCAATGTGCTGAAGCATCAGCAGCAGGCTAGGATGAAAGATTCTGAAGCGTTACTAATCATTCAAGACAACATCAATTACAACGGCTTCATTCAGACATAATCTTCTCCAAATAGAAACTGAGTTAATGACATTTATCATGCTTAATGGTCAACGAGAATCCATTGCCTATATAAACAAACTCAGTGATCAAATCGGTAACGATTTTGCATATACTATTCATGAGAATTAAAAAAAAACGGCAAGCATACTCATCATATTTCCACGCTCTCATTTTGTGTAAATTATCACAGTTGTGATAACAGTTTTTGTAACGAAAAACAACAACACACAGTACTCTTGTTTATTTGATTAAAATAGTGTTCCTTGAGATTAACCGGATTTTGGTTGTACTCAAGAAGACTTTAACAGTTGTTAAAGTAGTGATTGTAATCCTTTTGAAATTAGTGGATTAAGACCTCGTTAGAGAGAGACGAAATCACCTTGACGGGTGGACTGGAGTAGTTTGAGATCAAACGAACCAGGATAAAAATACTGTGTCATTGCGCATTTGATTTCAAATTTTCAATTCAACCCCCCCTTCTTGTGTTTTTCACTTCTTCAATTGGTATCAGAGCAAGGTCATGGGTTCGAATCCCCCCGGCTGACACTGGGGGGGGGGGGATTGTTGGATTAAAATATCCAGCGTCAACCTTAGGGATTCGAAGAGCTTAACATCCCCTCATGGGCGCCTACACAGGTGTGTTAGGTGGGTCAGGTAGGCCCCTTGTTATATTCTCTATAAGGAAATAGAGTAGCACCTTGGCTACAAGCAATTGCTTTTAGCTCAATGGTAAGTGCTTGATCCTACACTTTATACTTCTTCAAATTAGCAATAGCCTCCGAAGGCAATCCTATAGTTCATTCAAGATCAATTCGTTGAGGAAGATGTTTCGCCCAAAATGAAGTTGATTCGACAAAGTTAAGAACCTCTTGGCCACTTGTGTAACACCCCAATTTTAGTAATTAGTTATATATGTTATATTAATTAATTAATTGTTTGATTTTGTGAGT